CATCCGAGGATAACAGCTTGGATTGAAGCCTTCCTTACGAATAGGACCTCCGCAGTTCGTGTCAAGACAGCGTTTTCTGAGCTTGGAGATAAGCTTCTGATGGGAAACTTTGTCGAATGCTTTTTCAAAATCCAAGTAAATCACGTCCAGCCCTATGCCATTATCAATGTAAGATGTCCAGTCATTGAGAGATTGCAACATAGCAGTTACAGTGGATTTACCCTTTTGAAAGCCGTGTTGGTCATCCGAGATAATGTTGTACTCATCCAGGTGCATCACAATCCTCTTCTTCATGATTTTTTCAAATAATCTAGCGAAGATCGATGTTATGCTTACAGGTCTGTAATTGCTCGGGGATGAGTGAGGCATCCTTTTCGGAATGGGAGTTACGAAAGAAAGCCGCCACCTATCTGGCACCTCGGCGCGCATAAAACTCAAATTAAAGATGAACGCGAGTGGACCAGAGATTATGTGTGCTACCTTCTTAATGAAGCTGAGAGGAATATGGTCAGGTGTGTCCGAGTGAGAATTCGGCCATCTGACTAGTAACCTGCAGATTTCTTCGTGATGGAACCAGACCGAATCCCTCATAACGGGAAAAACAGGAGCTACGTCTAAATCTCTGGAGTCCTCATCTCTTTGATGTACTTTCTCAAAAACCCTCGCAAAAAGCTCTGCTATATCTTTTTCATTCCTTATGACATTACCGTCATCATCAAGCAATGCACCGAGACTCTGTCCCTTTTTGAGCTTGGAATTGAGAAACCTATAGAAAGCGTTTTTGTTCCTGGAGTAGATTACTTTTTTCTCAATGTGGCCATAAAACTTGGTCAATTTTTTATCGAAAGCGCTTCTCAGCATTTTGTATTTTTCCCAATCGCCCGGATTGCCCCCACTCAACGCCTTATTCCATGCAATACTTTTTTTGCGGTTTAGCCTGACCAAGTGTGGCGGGAGTTCCATCTCACTAGTCTTGCGCATTTTAACAGGAACAAATACATCAATAGTATGATGGAGTATGCCCAAGAACAATTCATATTTCTCATTAATCGTGTCAGCACAATTCAAGGATCCATACCAGTCAACTTGACTGAGATATTCATTGATCGCATCAAAATTTGCTTTTCTTAAAGTCCCTTACAAACACTTCTCTTACATCCTTCTTGACCTCAAGCTCAAGTGTGAAGACGATGGAAGCATGATCACTATTCCCAACCGGCGACTGAACAACAGCATTACTTATAAGCGCCTCGTCGTCAGTTAGTAATAGGTCTAGAATATGGGATCCCCGTGTACCTCTCAAAACGATTTGTTTGAGGTTGAGACTTAGACAAAAATTTGTGAAAGCGCGCGCACGGGAACTACTAGGAACTGGATTATAATTACCAAGCCATGAAATTTCGGGAAGATTGAAGTCACCGAGCAAAATTACCGAGTAATTGATGGCTATCAAATCACCAATTGCCTTCAGTAGCTGGTCTAATGCAGCAGCCGTGCACGATGGAGCCCTGTAGACTAGTACTAACCTAATCATGGCGTGATCCGTGTCAAGGTCGGCGCACAAAAGTTCGTAAGAGTCGGCCACGGATTCCTCAAATACAAGTCGAGGAGTGAAGCTTTTCTTCACAATAACGGCGACGCCACCACCGCGTCTGTTGCGCCGATCGCACCGAATAACATCATATCGCATACACCAATCCCCAAATAGGGATTCAGTACTAATAGTATCAGTTAACCACGTTTCCGTGAGTGCAACTATGCTACATTTACCATCCTGCATTCGATAAAGGAGATCGCCAACATTCTTAGGAAGGGAACGGATATTCGCCAAAAGACAGCACGGAGAAGCCTCTAGCGTCCGAGGAAAATTCACATGTTTGACAATGCCGTTGAATGAATTGACATGGGTGAGGTATCAATAACATCATTGACAGAGCTTTGGGGCAAGGTACTACTACGTTCTGGCTGAGAAGGAGTCTTATTCTCGACAAACATCGTTTTATCCCCAACTCTTTTGTTGAGATGAGCCTTCCTTTCGATACGGATCCGCTCCCTTTCCCCTTTAGGGAGCGAGGGCCTTATATAGACCCCCTTACGGAGCGGAAAGAATCGAAGTTGAGGCGCTCGCCTCAGCACTAGGTTGGTAAAAAATGAACTAGGAAAGAGAACTTTTAAAAGCCTATCATGCGTTGGGCTGAACCGCCCCATACGGTATACTGAGATTGGAGCACAATCTATTGAGAGATAATCAAGTAGTTGTTGAACACAGTTACGATCATGTAACACCCTATCATAGCTCCTACGGCTACGATTTTCAGGCACGCCTATAATAACTATCGATCTTTTACGCTCTACTTCATCATAAGATAAAAATCGATCAACATTTTCATCAGACTTGGACATTATCGGACAAGACTCAGGCGGAATATTATGTTCTTCTGAAGATGATTTACAACATTCAAGTGATTTTCTGAGAACTAGGTTTTCATCTTTCAAAGCCTTGAGTTCCTTAGACATTACATCGATCTGGGCAGACAACTCACAGTTTCTTCTCGAAAGTACCTCCAACTCTTTCCTACCGTCCAGCAGGAATGCCAAGATTGTACGAATGTGCAGTGGTATTGCTTCATCCTTGATAAGTTTATCGGCAGACAGCAGATAGTCCGACTGTGGGGAAGTTTCGAGTTCGAGTCGCCTCCTCTTCATAATCCCTTCCTGAATTTTACGGGGAAGAACGGGTGTTTCATTAACCATATCGCTACTTGAACCCTATCACACCTTATGTAGTGGCTATTAACTAAGGAAGTGAGTTATCACTTCAGAATGATATACCACTTCCAGCCACTAGAAGTGTCGCAGACCAAAACAAGCAAAAGAGGTCAATCGATACTGACAAGGAGACCTTCGTATCGATAACCATACACAAACGACGAAAAGATTAACCTGGGAAAGTGGCTTAATTTCTTCTAAATCATACTCCGCCACAAGAGTACTCACTAGGTCGGTAAGCCTCCGAAACGACGATGCACAGAGAGTGCGAGTGAAGAAGAATTAACAGTGGCAGAATACAGCGTCCACAATACAGAGCGTTCGATAACCGGCCGCTCGCCGCCAGCGCACAGGCGAGAATGAAGTACTGGGAGAAATGTTCATATTGTTACGCTCATTAAGCACCCCTTGACGAAGTAGAGCATTGTAAAATCCCCGAGGTAAAGACGATCACAGACCCCGCCCACCTCACAGACCCACCGATGAAGTGGGATCTAATGAATGGTGCAAAATTTCATCGCTTATCTACAGTGTGGGTAAAAAATACGGTAACAAGATTAATTAATCATGACAAACCAACGTGACCGAGAAGACCCGAATCAACAAACCATACACTCACGAAAGGTTGTCAAACAGAAAGCATTATTACCCCTTGAACTGGTCGTTTCCTG